TATTACATATATATATATATATATATATATATATATATATATATATATATATATATATATATATATATATATATATATATATATATATATATATATATACCGGGTGGCGCAAAAAAAAGTTCACGCGTTTGATTTAGTACAGCGAAAAAACTATAAATGTTACATCGCTGAAATAAACGTAGCTGTATTCATAAAAGTCTAACTTAAATTTTGAGCTATAGCATGTTTATTTACGTACAATATTGACTGGGATATCGCCAAATAAAATTTGGAACGAATTTTTGAAAATCTAACAAATTGGCTAAAAATGGCCTATTAAACTGTTTTGATAAATTTTAGAATTTCGTCAGACATATTCGCTTGTATGAATTTAATTTGAATTGAAACGTGTAACGAATGATTTTCCTTATTTATTTATTTGTTTTATTATCATTTGAAAAGCAACAAAATTTCGAAAAAGATGGCTCTTTTAATTAAGAATTGCTTCGCAGTATTTCCATGTCCCATAGCTATAGGGAATTAAATTAGATCAACAACCGAACAATTTGAGACAGCTTCGTGAAGCGATTATTGCTGATTGCCATAACTTTGACCAGCAAATAAATCCAACGTTCGTTCGATAGTATGGTCACACGTGCAACAATATAGTTATTTAATTTTCCAGGATAAACGCGTTATTTGCTGCCTTTGTGTTCTTCATATATCGTTAACTTCCTTTACTCGTATTTAATTGGCTATTTTCAGCTAATTTTGGAACCTTTTGGAATTGCATATCCAAATTGATTTACCAATATCTTGGGTAATACTAAACAAAAATGCATGTGTTATACATCAAAATTTAAGTTAGGCCTTCCTGGATAGGATAACATTTATTTGAGGAACGTAACACTTATAGTTTTTTCGCTGTACTAAATCAAACGCGTGAACTTTTTTTTGCGCCACCCGGTATATATATATATATATATATATATATATATATATATATATATATATATATATATATATATATATATATATATATATATATATATATATATACTATTCCACTGAAGAAGCCTTAACCGGCGAAACGTTTCGATATTAGGAAGGTTTAGGAAATATATAGTTAATTTTAAGTCTTAAACATCGCACCTTAATTAAGGATTGCTACACGAGACACCGCGGCATTACCGGATTTATAACGCTTTATAATTCTTGTGGAATGTTTAATCAGCAGGATAAGTTGTTTATAGACATTGACAACACAGTGACACCTATTTGTCTGGTCTGAGTCAGGAAAAAATATTAGAATTAATTTGTTAAAATTTAAACTTCAACTGCAACATTCCTTTAATCATCTCTACATATCTTGTACAACTACATATATAATTGAATATAATTTTCAGATAGCCTAGATTATAAAACTATCAGTATGGTAACATATATCGTGACCAGTTAGACTATGTAAACGTCTATTAAAATGTTTAATCTTTCTCCTTATTCCGTTCAAAATATCAGTATCATTAAAGTCGATTTAAAATTTAAAGTAGTCTTAAGTATTACCAGGAATTGTATCACGACGTCCCCACCATCCTCCAACCTTATTCTGTCTTTTCTCATCATCATATCCATGAAGGTCTTCGTTACCATCAACTGTATCACGACGTCCCCACCATCCCCCAACCTTATTCTGTCTTTTCTCATCACTATTTCCATGAAGGTCTTCGTTACCATCAACTGTATCACGACGTCCCCACCATCCCCCAACCTTATTCTGTCTTTTCTCATCACCATTTCCATGAAGGTCTTCGTTATCATTAATTGTATCACGACGTCCCCACCATCCTCCAACCTTATTTTGTCTTTTGTCATCACCATTTGCATGAAGGTCTTCGTTATCACCAATTGTATCACGACGTCCCCACCATCCTCCAACCTTATTCTGTCTTTTCTCATCACCATTTCCATGAAGGTCTTCGTTATCATCAATTGTATCACGACGTCCCCACCATCCTCCAACCTTATTCTGCCTTTTATCTTCACCATATCCGTGATGATCTTCATTACCTACCAGTTTCGGAGGGTATGGCTTTCCATGCGTTCCTCCATCACTACCAAAAGTACTAGGGGGTCCATAGAAGTCTGGAAATGCGTTAGGCAATGAATAGTATGGCACTTGTTTTCGGGTATTCGTATTTATTGTATTTGATTTTTCTTTTCTTTTCGCGTTGGCATTGCGAAATAATGATAACATAATAACGAAGGAAACTAAGGCATGTTGAACTTTCCAATTCATAGTTACACTAAAAATTGAGACAGTAGATGTCAGTATTATGTACAAAATTACTATCCTGAACTGTTTTGAGTTTTAATACACACGAGTATAAAATGAATTTCGCATTTGACTCAAGATAATGCTCTCTATATAGCTTAATTAAAAGTACAAATATTTGCCAAATTCTCAATAGACGCGACAGCTTCATTTATGTGTGTTTAGGCATTTATAGGTGTTGTCAACGTTATATGTCAACCAAACGTTTTTATGAGCTGTTTTTTTACAAGACCTGACTTAAAGGGTCGATTACATGGAGCATTTTCAACCCCGGGGTTGAACTCAGCCCTGTTGACTGGGTTGAAATTTCAGCCCTGTCTGTAATTCAAAACTCTATCAAAATCAAACGCGCAATTATATGACAAAATTTTCAACTCAGAGCCGAGTTCAATATCCGGGGGTTGAAAGTGCTCCATGTAATCGGCCCCTTAGATACCTATCAGTAAGAGGACAATTTATTCGAATATCACTTATTAATAATCAAACAAATTATTACGCCAACGGATAAGAAGAATTTAAGCTTTTACAGTTCCTTTTAGCCTGTAAATATGGCCAAATTTCTATATGTATA